TCTGAGTGTTTTATGTGCTGCAGAACAGGAACCTGCTGTAAAACAGCAATTATGCTGAGTCAGGCTTGATTTTTAATAACCTTTTCCTGTTAAATAAATAAATCAAATCAATAGATCAGTCTAAAAATGATCCAAGAACCTCAGTCCAGTCTGCAAACTGTAAAGTTTTTATATTGTTGTCACGTAGTTGGAAACACACGCAAGAGCGACGTCCTGCGGACCGCACACACAGCTGAGGAAAATAAAATGTGTGTGAACTGTCTAAGAAACATTTTTAATTTTCATTGAGAAAACAACGTCAACTCAGCATATTAATTCAGAGCAGCTCAGCTACGATGATTCCTCAGCTCCACAAGATGCAATAGATTTATTGATGCGTAAAGTTGTGCATATGGATCAGTGTCAACTGTTCCCAGTCCCACACTGCGGCAGAAATTCGCAGCGCGGCGAGTCCAACGCATCCTCCCCCCGCGTCAACATATTGACGCTTGGTCAGGTAGCCTTTTGCGTCCAGTTTTGATGCGCCGGGTACCCCTGTGCTTCAGTTTTTTACGAGATGACACGGAGGAGGACAGGTGCGTTGTTCTATTTTTTTACAAGAGTAGGAAATGCGCGTTTCTTCACATCAACTATTTAATAAATATGTTTCTAAGTTCTACCAAACTCATCAGTTCCTCTGTGTTTACAGTCATTTATTAAAGACGCGTGAAGGTGGAAATGTCTCTCAGCCTCATGCGCCGCTCAAACTAACATCACATGCGTGTACACACCAACACCCATACACACCTTTGCAAGTGGCAGACTCATTTTTACACTCCACTGACAATTTTCTCACTCATTCTCCATTTAATGTATAATTTTCCTGCATCTAAAAATCATTTCTGATCCCACAGAGAGGACAACCTGAGGATAATCTCACACACTGGACACATTTACATCTAACAKATTTAAATGGAGGCGTGTCAGGGGAGGTGTCTCAGGTGCGCTCAGCTCCACGTTCATTGGGATGTATGAAGGAAAGGTGCGCAGGAACCTGCGTGCGCACGGTTTTATACATGKWWTKRGTGCTGCGTACTTTTCTAAATTTGTCCGTACGTCAACTTTTAGTGTGAAAGCTGCGCAATCCTTTACACATGAGGCCCCAGATGAGGGCCAGGTCTGGCAACAAGAACAATAAAACCAAAAATAACGTAAAAAGAAAAGAAAATTTCTCATATTTGAACATTTTTATGCTGGCATGCCACAACTGGCCCTAATGTGGTTTGGTTTATGTAGCGCTGGCCCATGTGCAGACACCTCTGGCAAACATCTGGGCCATCAAAGGGCTGTCATTATTAG